GCTTAGACTAGCTTGGACAAGCTATGAGCAGCTAAGACAAGCAGCCCGAGGGAAAACACTCGGGTCCCCACGTTAAAAAGCGACTTTGTGTCACAACCCGACTCAGAGTTTCAGGTTAATACACTGTGTAAATTGCTCTCTTGAGTGGTTTCTAACACATTATTTATCCTCAAGATCGTTTTCTATCTGATGTGTCACTTCAGGATATAGTAGATAGTGGCTCTCGACATCTTCCACAATCTCGTGTAGCCCTTAGAAATTTTCTTCCTTTTCTAAGGCCAACTCACCCTCCATTCCTCCATCCATTCATCCTAGGTCGTCAGGCAAGAGGCTTGCTACCTTCCCCTATTTCTCTTAACATCAATACGCCCCGTGAGTGTTAAGTTTTCTAAACCCGCCTTTCTTATTAAATATCCAAGTAATTATAGATGTGTTTTCCTGATTTTGAGTATAGCAGTTATTCCTTTTGCTATTTTCTTTAATACTTCCTTCTAATTTACTCATACCGTCAATGGAATTTTCAGTATCCTTCTATAGATCCATATTTCTCCTGATTCTAGTTTTTTTTCTCTCTCATCCACGGGAATATTATCCAACATTTATTGCCATATAAGTCGATCAATAAACTGTAGCAATTATTTCACATGCTTAGGGATATTGTTCAAAATTTACTACCATATAAGGGAATCGGTAACCTATAGAAATCTTTCCTCATCCTTTGGGAGATTATCCAGCATTCATTGCCATATAAAAGGATTGATAAGCTGTTGTAATTTTTCCTCATCATTAGGGATATTGGCCAAAATTCACTACCATAGAAGAGAATCGATAACCTATAGCATTTTTTCCTCATCCGTGGGGTGCTTGTCCGGCGTTTACTGCCATATAAGAGGATCGATAACCTACAGCAATTTATACGTTGAAAGATTGTCTGGGTTTCACTGCCTCATAAAAGAATTGATAACCTATAGTATTTTTCCTCATCCGTACGGAGACCATCCAACATGAAATTCTCTATCATAGAATGAATATGAAGATAAATTACTCAGATAATATTTGGAAGTCTGCAAATCTAATCGTTCGACGAATTATGAAATAAAGAAACTAAGCAATGGTGAATAGCAGACAGAATGATTTTTAAATGCGAACAATAATTTTTCTCAGCACATCTGACAAGGTTTTTGAAAAATCGGTAAACGAACGTAACTTCCTTGTTAAAGTAAAATGAATGTTGGGTTAAATCAAAGGAAGAAATTCCAGGAACAAGGATCAGACGAGTATCTTATGAACAAAGGAGTGTGTTAATCGTTTCATAAATATGCTAGTACTCCCTGTGAATACTTCAATGATTCCTATCGGAATCTTTGGATATATTATATTATTATGGATAGCGGAGATTCGAAGAGCCGAGTTCGAATTCCAGTCAAATCGATTAGCTTATATGCTAATACCGTTAGGAAAGGTATGAATCTTCTTCTTTTCCCTCCCCCCAGCTCTGGGTAAAAAGAAGAACAGACGGGGTTCTGTAGCCATGGACGGCAACTGGTCTACCGCAGAAAGAAATGGCAGCCTACTGCGGGAAATATCTGCCTCGTCCGTCATGTATCGAAAGGTACATGATCGCCTAAACGTGTATCACGCCTGGCACATAACTGACTGCAATGAATAAATAAGTTACGACTACGAAATACCCATGGATATTACCCTATTGCATTGTTGAATATTTGATCTCAACAACTTTAACAAAATATGAAAAACAGGTCATTATTTAAGGAAGGAAGGTGGTACAAATGAAAATATTTAAAATTACCAAGTTTTTACATTTTACAAACCTTTAAACTCATGGAACGTTATCACCTACTCTTTCTTTCTTGCTGTCTATCATTGAAACAAAACAGTCCATCTGTCTCTTCTAACATATTACATTGTTAAATATTTGAGCTCAGCAACTTTAATCAAATATCACTGTAGTTTACTATTACCGCCTAACGGAAAGTAGTATGCACTCAACTGCCTCATGTGTAATAGTCAGAGCTATATATTGCCTTTGTGACTTCATATGTAAATGGATAACCTCATCTCCCTGTACCGACGAGGTTTTATCTCCTTATATTTCTTCTATGAGCTTTTGTTTCCACATTATCTTCCTCCCTCTCCTTAAGAGATTTTCTAGATATAGGAGATCTTGACCTTTTTTTTCTTTTTCCATAGGAGAGTTCTTCCAACGATTGTTCATCTTCAGAGTCTATATTACTCTGGATTTCAGTGTCAAGTTCGTCTTGCCTTAATATGACACTTTCGTCTTCCTTATTTTCAGGTACACTGTACATTTCTTCATCACTATCGTCTTCCAATCTGACGTGGTCTGAATGCGCTAATGTCCCATTTTTTTCTATTAACATAGTGTTCTGTCCATTCTGCATTATGAATCTGACCTCTCATAGATTAGATTCACTATTCTTTTTATAACATAGTTTTTAGTTGGTGGCATAAGACATCATCAATTGGTATCTAATATGTCTACCCATGAGAGCGGACAGGCTTTTCGATCTTCCAGCATGTAGTATTTTCCTATAGCTTAGCAACAATCTCGGAAAAAGTGTCTTTATCTTTTCTTTCCGTTGTACACATATTCCCAACCCGTTTTTTTTTTTAGAGTTTACACCACCCTCTCTGCTAATCTGTTTGATTTCGGATGGTACGGTGGGTTTTTTTATATGGTTTGCATCCGATTTTGTTCAAACATTGGCATAGTTCCTCGTCTCAGAATTCTGGAGCTTTGTTAGATACTAGCGTTTTCGGAATTCCATTTCTTGCAAATATGATCCTTAACGCTTTTTTTTTCACGCTCGAAATTCTTTTGTTGAGTATCTGTGTTACTTATGGCCAGCCTTGATACGCACCTACCATCAATAATCCCAATCCATAGGCATGATTCATGAGTACTCTGTCCCAAAGTTGGCACTCTTTAGGCCATGTATGTTTTTTTCTGTCTGAATTTTCTTTCATTACACGTTCTACCCCTTTTTATGTATTTTCTACACCTGTAAAATAGCCTGGCCACCATGTTTCTAGCCTTAATCTCCTGTGCGTATTACGCAATGAACTTTGTCATGAATACTTTTTTATAATTTTGCTCCTTTGCGTTGCTGTTACAAATTATATCCTTTTCTTCCATTAACTTGTGTTTAACCTCTTTAAAACGCCTTTCTGACTGTGGAAAATTATTCCACTTACCATTTCTTTTAATACTGAATAATATACTGTTCAATATGGGATCTCGCTTCGTATCCTCAGCTAATTTGTCTATCGACGAAATATCAGTTTTGGCCAAGGGTAAGAAAGTATCTTCGAATTTTTCCTCCTATTTTAACTTTCAGAATTAACTTCAATCTTGTCAAAGTGCCTAAATGCGGAATTGTATTGCCTCCCACGTAGTCAATATCAACGGCAAACGCCATTAAAATTAAAACCTAACTTAAAATTCTAGAAGACAAGTTCCTTTCTAGAATGAAATATGAATTCTAAAGGTTTATGTTCGGACTTTAGTAGGAATTTCTTTCCGATCAGAAACTGACGAACTTTTTTGTCGTCCATATTATGGCCAACGCTTCTTTCTTAACATTTGAGTAGTTCATCTCGGCTTTTGACAATTATTTCGAAAGTTAGATTATGAGATGATAATCCTGAGTTAATATTCCTGAAATTGAGTATTCAATTGCGTCAGTTGTTACTACTATTTGCTTTCTAAGGCCGAATATTGTTGGTGCGTCTTTGCCAGAACAGCTTTTAAATCTTCACTTGTTGTTTGTTTGTCCAAATAAAATTTCAGATTCTTTTTTTCTTAAAGCAGCAAAATGTCCTGTCATTTTGGAATATCACTGTACATATCGTCGGCAGAAATTTGCAACTTCTAAGAAAGATTTCAGTTCTTTTTTTTTTTTTTTTTTGAGATACTTCAACTTTTAATGTTGTCAATTAACAATTGGTCTGGTGATATGACTTCGTTGCATATGTAATATCCCAAAAATTATACATTTTTAGTTTTGTGCAAATGTTTTTTTTTTGTTTTTTTTGGGGGGGGTGGGGATAATTGATAATTCAGCCTTTTTTTAATTTATTCCAAACCATACTGGTTTTCCATTTTAATTCATCGTCGTTAACAGCACCAATAGAAATGTCATCCTGGTAATATATTGTATTTTTGTATCGGTACTAATTATTCTATAGTCCTTTGAAAAATCGTACTTGCGGTTTTAATTCCATACGATATTCTTTGGCAGGCTTATTGATGTGACTTCTTTAAAGTCTTCGTCAATAGCTATTTGATGGTATCCCGACTTAAGATTTATTTTAGAGAATTTTTTCATATCCGCAAGGGAGTTCAAAGACCATTCTACATTAGGGATAGGATATGAGTCTGCACATATTTTGTGGTTTACAGCTATTTTGCAGTCACCACAAATGCGCAGGCCCCTATCCTTCTTTCTTATAATTACTAACGGGAAGGCCCATTTGCTTCTTCCTGGTGGAACACGTTCAAGCAGATTTTTTTTCCAGTATCTTTTATTTGTTTGTCCGCATTTATTAGTAGTAGATGGACTGATACTTTTCATGCTTCAAAATATGAGTGGAAGACATTTCTCTTTAGTCTTAACTTTGCTGTATAGTTTTTTTAACATTTCAATTTCTTCTGCCTTGACTTTACTAATTACACGTTTTCTAATTTTGTCAAATTTATGTTCAATACATCATTTCCTATTAGTCCATGATCCTTTTCACAGTTTGTCACGATAAGTGTTAACACGTCAAACTTATTTTTTAGTTCTGCGTAGGCTTGGAAAAAAACTAAAATTTTATCTAGGATCCGTCGAACTGATTCAGACAATTTATGATTTATGATAAGATTTCGCCAAGCGAAAATGTTTTAATAAAATCGATAATTAAAAAAAAACATTTGCATACACTCAATTCCGCTTTGAGCTTACTACGACATCACGTTTAAATACCAGTTCCCGTACGATCACCGAAGTTAAACAACGTCAAGCTTGGTCAGTCCCTAGATGGGTAACCGCTTGAGAATACTAGATGCTGTAAATTTCGATGTACCAATGGTGTTATGGATAACGGCTCGGAATTGTTAATCGGAGAGCCTAGTTCCAATTCTAGTTAGGTTCGTTATATTCGCTTATACACATCTAGCCATGTGAAAGAGATAAATCCACATATTCTCTCCCCGATATGAGTTAATTAGTAAAACTTTTATCACTAAATCGTTATTTCAGAAAATAAAATAAATTGCGTAATACCTTTAGATTTCGGCATTAAAAAAACCTATAAAATTTAATAAAACAAATAAAAAAGATATTTTGTGTGGATGATACAACAGTTTATAAGTGCAATTCCAAAAATCTGGAACAGCAGACCTTGATTCATCACTCCTGTGACCCAGTTCATGTGGATCAATGGGGGAAGGATGAGTACTTTCCTCTATGGTACCTAGACTTTATGAATTTAAATCTAGATTCGCGGCAACGTCTCATCATTTTACAGTTGAAATGATTAGATGTAACCGTAAGTTCTATGCTTACAGTTTCTTCTATCGCACTTCTCACTTGTGAAAATCTCTTCCGGCTTCTTGCTTTCCAGTCAACTTTGATCTTCAAAGTATTTAAATGCAATGTCAGTCGTTATCTTCTGTCTCCTTAATCCTTGTTCTTTTATTGTCATATCTCCTTAATAGTAGTTTGTTTCATATTCTCTAACACTCGGTGACACCCTTGCGTCTTAGTGGCTTTATTGCCTTGCTTGGAGTACAATGGTTAAGAAAAAGAAAAAGAAAAAAAAAGGAATCTGGCTATGCTCCAAAGATTACCGAATGCAATCTATATTATGAAGAAGTGCGGAGAACTTAGCAGCCAATAATTTATCTTAAGATAGGTAAGGGTTCACGGGATTTTAATTATATGCTAAATGATAATATACCTCTCTGTGAGATGTTTCGGTTTTAGATGGCAATTCCCAGTTGGTTGATGTCATGATCCAAAGGTTAGGACCATGGAAGAACAACACGAAACACAACAGTAGAAATAACAAAGAATATATTACACAAGAAATAATACAAGAAGGGAAAGGGTCAGTAAGACTGTCCGACTGGTTTGGCGTGACTGCTATCAGCTCGACTCGATTCAATACCAAATCCGTCTTATGCTGTTCTGATACTCCTGATACTCTTGGTCTCTTTTGAGAGGTGGGGTATATATATATCCTTCGGAAGAGTTCATTCTGTCGTTCTAGGTAGGCACCATGACAGTTGATGCGGAAAAAGGTGGCGCGATCGAAACAAATGAAGGACGTTGAAAGACTTTTGAAAACATTCTAGTTTATTCAAAAAAAGAAAAGAAAACGAGACAGGAAGCCTGGTCTCATTCTTCTTCTACGATCGTTTTTAAATTCTTCGTTCTTGCAGAGAAAGAATCAGAAGTGCGCCATAAGGAATCAAAACAATATCAGTTTGTTCATATTTAAAGAAAACGCATATGAAAACAAAACAATATCAGTGTGTTAATATTTAAAGAAAACGCAAAATAAATGTAATCATGGCTTCTAAAAGTAACTGTCATTTAAAGCAGTAGACATAAAATAAATAATTATAAAAATTATTAAAATTTATATATAATTCTAGGTTCGTCGTCATTAGTTATGATCTCATTTCCTGCAGCGTTCGTAGTAACCATTTTTATCGTTTTACATTTCACATCTATTTATTTATACATAAAATTCAGTGACTTCCGTCAGTCCGTTTGTCACACCCTCTAAAATAGCAATACATTGACCGATCAAAACCAAATTATTCCCTCGTCCAATACATGTTCGGATTGCGGTGCCACATGTTCCTTCTTTTGTTAAACACTTCCCATATACTTAAATTGATGTTGAAATCTTCAATATTTAATTCGAACCTTCGGCTTTTTCTCTTGCCGATGATCGTCTCGCCTTCTTGCAGTTGATTGTTAGTTTGTTTTTTTCGATTTCTTCTACTATCCTATCTAGGAAGTGCTGTAATTTTATTTCCTAGTCAACCCTGAATACAGTTTCATCTGCAAATCTTATATCATGAAGATTAAACCTTGTATTTGATTTTGAAAGTGGGGAAAAACAAAGATCGTCAAATAGGGGCCTTGTTTCTAAAGCTAACGAAGTTGGACTGGCTATCAAACAAAACGATTCCTCATTTATGGAACTTTAACTCCCTCCCTCATGTCAGCTTCATTACGAAAAGCCATAAAACATAACACCCAACCTACATTCGTCCCAGATCAAAATATTTCGGTTAAGACTGATAGGTCATCTGTCATGGTCAATTTAAAAGATTTCTTCCACCCCAGTTCGTTTGACGACGTTAACATGTACCTATACAAAAACACTTAATCATAATTACAGTCTGTCTATATTTCTGAGATGAGGTATTATGTACAGTATTTACATTAGTCGGACTATTGTCCTCATCTTTGTCGCCATATTTGTCACAACGTTTCGGCCGTTGTACGTTCCGGCTTTCTTCAGGTGGTTGGAATTTCGAACTGAACCTTTATTTCAAGGACACATGGCACAGTGGATAAAGGCGTTGGTTAGATCCAGTGACAGACCCAAAGAATGGGTAGTTCAATTCCTGGTTAAGGCAGTGGAGAACTTTCAGAGGGAAAATTAGCAGGAGATAACTGATAACTGACATCCATCAAACATGGCACGTGGAACTAGAACAGTCTACACCAGTGATCGAAATAAAGGGTTCAGTTCGAAATTCCAACCACCTGAAGAAGGCCGGAGCGTACAACGGCCGAAACGTTGTGACAAATATAGCGACAAAGATGAGGACAATAGTCCGACTAATGTAAATACTGTACATAATTACATTCTTTTCCTCTTATGAGACTTCTCACCCGACCTGTTCGAACTATACAGCGAGGCAGTTCTGAGAGAATTGGAAACCCTACCAAGATTTGGCGGCCACAATCTTATCAACATAAGATACCCAGATGACACAGTACTGATAGCAAAAAACGCAAAAGAAATTACAAATCTCCTACAGAAGGTAGCGGCAGAGAGTGTGAAGAAAGGACTAAACATAAACTACAAGAAAACAGAATGCATGTTCATCAGTAAAAGGATGATCCCGAAATGCGATTTGCAAGTTGGGAAAACTAGAATCAAGCAGAGTCGGAAGCGTTCTAACAGAGGATGGTAAATGCAACACTGAGATCCGTAGACGTATTGGGGTGGCCAAGAATGCATTCAGAAAGGTGGGCAGAGTATTGCAAGACAGGAGGACCCCTTTTGGTAACGAAGAAAAGAATACTGAGCTGTTACGTGACATCTGTCCTTCTTTACGGAAGCAAATGTAGGAGGATTTCCTCAAAGATGAAAAAGAGACTTGAGGCAACGGAGATGTGGCTCTACAGAAGGATGCTAAGGATATTATGCACCGAGCGTGTGAGGAACGATGAGGTCTTAGAGAGGTTGCAAACAAGGAGGGGGCATCAGGAAGAAGCAGCTGAAATTTCTGGTACAACTAATGATAAAGGAGGGCTTAGAGAATCTGATACACACAAGTCGAATAGAGGGAAAGAGACACAAGGGAAAACAACGTATGACATACCTATCGGGCTTAAGCAAGTGGATGACAGAACGTGGTCTGGGGAAGGTGGTACAAGGAAGGAACTTTTTGAGAGCTGCAAAGGATAGGGAGAAGTGGAGAGCCCTGATCGCCTACGTCCTAAAAGCACATGGCACATAGAAAGAAGTGGAACATTAAAGCATCACATCACCTGGATTCAGCTAATAGCAACGAAAGGAGAGATTATCCATTTTATATCCGGAGGCTGTCGACTTTGAAAACATCATTTAACTATGTGGGCGCATGTGCTTCTTTACACATGTGCATATATACAAAGATTAGTCAAAAAGGTAAAACCGGTTCCGATTTTATCTTAAATAAGTTAATCATAATTCCTAAGAGCTTTAATCTGTCGGATATAAAGTATACTGATACCATGTTACAATTTATCTTAACTTGTCCTATAAATAATTCCTCTTTCACAAAGTCTGTGATGTGCGGGTGGTGATGGCGGGTCGAAATAAGGAATCGGAGATTCGAGTTCGAATTCGAGTTGGGTTCGTTACACTTGCTTACGAGCAAATACCATTGGGAAAGATTTTAATCCATCTTTTCTCTCTAAAGCTATGGGTCTAACATTTTCGACTCACTTGAAGAGGAACGATTATATTGTATCAAAAATGTATTTCTGCTAATATTTTTTCTTCAAAAATTCATTGCTGGTAATTTTTTTTTCCAAATATGTTTTGCTGGTATTAAAACCTATTTTTACACTTTCATACTCTTTTGACCCCACTTTGTGGTTACCTATTTGCCCATAGTTGGGACCCTAACAGGTGCTACCACCCCGAGTCAGGGTGGTCCTGGGAACACTAGCAATTAAGAGGTGGTTTTGCACTCCTAAAAACCTCCTGATAAGAGGACTTGCTGTTGGATGTAATTTATCGTCTTACCCAGGACGCGGATATAATTCATCGTCTTGCCCAGGACATAGATCACGCATGAGTAAAAACCATTAATAAAGGAATTCTTACATCCTGTTAATATTTTCTGGCTTTAAATAACCTGAAAATTATTGATAAGCCATAGAAAACGAATAAACCAATCAAACTTAATATGCAAATAGGTGACTGCAAAGCAATCGGTCTTGACCTGTATTCTCGGCTTCAGTCAGGCTGCAGTGATGTACCTTCACGATGCCTTTTTCGGGAAATATTTTCATCCTTATTGTTATCTTTGGTATGTCGACTTCCCGAATTTAAGCGCAGTACTAGATTGGCAGTTAAGTCACATCATTGTATGGCTGAAATGGCTAGATGTGACCGTAAGTTCTATGCTAATAGTTTGTTTTTTGTTTTTTATCTCTGGAACTTTCCGCCTGTTCAACTCTCGTCCTGCTTCTTGCTTTCCTTTTAAGCCCGATCTTCAAAAGGTTAAATGCAACGTTAATCGTCATCTTTTGTGCCCTTGAAACCTGTT